ATCTGCAGCCTTTCTCTGTTGGCAAAGCTGGAGCCATTCAGCTGTGTCTCACAGAAACCGACAGCCTCCACTCAAAGAAAAAATCCTGCTGTGAAGGAGAAGGACCCAAGTCTCAGCTCTGCTTTCAGTGTGTGACTGCTGAAAACATACAGCCTGATGGCAATTCTGTAACCCCATACAGGCCTGCACTCCATGGCTTTTTGCAATTGATGTACCTATGCACAAGTGAGGAACTTCCAAGTATGCATTAGCCACAAAAAGCCCACAATAAATTAATTATCTTACAGAGGGCTGGTTTGAAGGAGCAATATTTTTCACTGGAAACACTTTTCTTTCCCACATATTTTCTAATGCTGAAACTTTGCTTGTTTTTATAGTTTGTCCTTTATGGTTGCCTGATTTACCAACCCACTTTGATTAGTTTTCAGTGTGAATTAATACACATTTGCAACCCTTCTAATCACATATTGCTCAAGGGTGGGTATTCTAAAGTCACAGATTTTAAGTCCAGGGTGCATCATTGCAGGCTTCAGCATAACTTTCTAGAATTTTACCCTTTGCCATGGGAGCAGAGTGCTGAACAATTCTCTGCTGACTGAATGTGAGATTTTTTTTAAGGAAGGAAATCTAATCCTGATTTAAAGATTTAATGCGAGAGAGAAGCTAACCACATCCTGTCAGGTGTTTCACTGGTCAAGATCTACATTTCATTTTTAGCTTGAACTTACACAGCTCCAGCTTCCACCCATAAAGGCATTGCTAGAACTTTGTTTTCTGAACAGTGTTATTTATAGCTTGTGACAGATCACTTCAGCTATCTCCTCATTTACAAGTTAATTAGATTTTTTATCGATATTTCTAGCTCCCTCACCCAAAGAAAAGCCCTGGAGGACAGCTTGGTCTTCTCACTCATGCCTCTACCTCTCAGCAGTGTCATCTGATCTGCACAGAAGCTGCTGCTCCCCAGTGCAGTCCCCTCTTGATGGGGACAAAACCTTTCAGGGCCATCAGACTGTCACAGGCTCAGCACAGCCCACTCTGCTGATCATCCCAGCAGCACCAGCAAGGGCTCTCTGGCCTTTTCCCACCACCCTCCTGATGTGCAGCCTTGGAAGTCTGGATGTTATTTGAGCAGAGGGTTGGTTACTGCTGCATTTCTCCTGTCATCCCCTGCTCCTTGCAGCCTGCTGTTAGTCCTCTGAAGCCACACATCCCACCAGGAGCTAACCCACCACCTAAGAGGCCACCCAAATCCTCTGTATAATCCCTCACCTCCCCATCAGTCCCCATCTGAGGCAACCTATAGTTACTTGAATATTTCTATTTTATTTTAAGTTATTGACACATAATTTGCCTTTTTTCATCACGTTAGTCCTAGGGTTTTTAGCTCAATGGGAACTGTTCTGGATGGGACTCCATGCAGTATATGTGAGTTTAGTGTGCTTACCCCTCTCTGTTCTCTGGTGTCAGTTCAATCTAAAAAGGCTTTAACATTGTATTTAAAGTGTTTACATGTTCCATTATGTAATGTTTGCATTCATTCTGACATACTTCAGATCTGCTCTCCCTCCTTCCCTCCTTTTCCCTTCCCATTTCTCTGCCTGCATCCTACGCTTTCTGTCTGCCAGCTATAAAGAGATTTCAGAATTTTAAAAATAGCTATTTAAAAGCAACAAACCAAGGCTGAAATGAAATACAGCAGGCAAGAACTGCTCAAGGGAAACTCACTAAGTTAGAATACACCAGGGCTTTCCTGCAGGGTTTTAATGGTGACTTTGTGTAACTGCTTAGACCTAAATCTACACCTTTAGCTGAACCATCACCATGAGAGGTTTGTCCTTTATCTAAATAAAGCTAATTGCAGGTTTACTTTGGGAAGAGGAATTCCAGATATAAATTAATTTAAACCATGTTTTATTCTTGTTATTTATTACATATTCTTCTTACCATGAAATTTTATTTTCCCCTCATGAGTGTTTATGGGATAATCTGGATTTAGATGCCTCTGTTTGAACGAACAAGCTCAAGAGATTTGGCCCCATGGTATTTAATGAAAAAGAAAATGTCATGAGGCCCTCCCCTTTGGAAATAACCAGTTGAGTAAAGATTAATGAAGATATATTCATGTCCACACTGTCCCCTGCAGAGAGGTTAGGAGGGAAATTCATCATATACATCAGGATTAACTCAGTTTCTGCTGTGGCATTGCAATTCTCTTGAAACTGTATAGCTACTGACCTACTTTTCAGGTGGTTTGGTGGAAGTCACTACAAATCCTTCTGGCATTTCAGCACCAGCAGACTATAATGTTTTACAGGGATAGAGCATCTTCTGAAATGGCAAAAAAAACCAAAACTGAGTCACAAAATAGAAATTGAACTCTCAATGCTGGGAAAAACAAGGATAATTTTCATACCAAGCACACACAAGTAATGAGCTGACATGGAAATGCCCTACAGGAATTTTTCTCAAAGGGCAGTCTCTGCAACCCCAGAAATGTTATAATCTTTGACGACCTTCTGGTGCTCTTCCTGTTTTTGCAACAAAGGTATGGAAGATTCCTTCCTTCCTTCCTTCCTTCCTTCCTTCCTTCCTTCCTTCCTTCCTTCCTTCCTTCCTGCCTTCCTGCCTTCCTGCCTTCCTGCCTTCCTTCCTGCCTTCCTTCCTGCCTTCCTGCCTTCCATCCTGCCTTCCTGCCTTCCTAGCAGCTCTACTAAACCCAGGCTTATGTGTATATAAAATTACACCAGCTAAATGTTGGACACCACACTCTGTCTCAGGTGAATATACTAATTCTTGAGGTTGAAATAACACCAGCTTTCTCCATAGCCCTTGCTCCCAGCTAAGGCAGCTTCTCAGGAAGTCAGTCTTGGAATATTTACCAGCCCAAGAGGGAGGTGGGTGATAAAAGCCCAGGACAGACCCCTGTTTGGCACCTTCCAGCACTGTCTGCCCCTCAAGCTGTGCCCATGGTTGATGGATGTCAAACAAGGTGGTGCAGGGCAGCAGGCCTGGAGACACTGCTTCTCACTCTGAAACAAAGATAAAGCAATGCCTGACTCTGATCCAGCAGACAGAGACATGTGAATTTATACAAAGCAAATCCTTAATCACTCACCTAAACACAAGAAAGACTTCTCATAAATTGAACCCAACCACATTATCATCTTAAGCTCTTTAAGGATTTGCTTCTGATTTCATAAAATCAGCCTCAAGAGGAAAGTGGAGCAACATTTTCTGTAGCTGCATTGGGAAGTCCTGAAGGATGTTATTTTACAGCAGAATCTTGAGCAGACATTGTAACTGCTCTATCACTACCACTGTAATGGCAAAATGATCTCCTGCATTGCTTTAGTCCTTTGAGGACTTGGTGGTTAGAGAGCTGTTTCTGCTCCCCTGCACTGGCTGTACAAGGGCTGCCCCAGAAAAGAGGGCATGAACAAAACACCCAGACAGCTCAAAGCCCACATTGATTTGTCTTGGCCAGTAATTGCATTAACATCTCTGTGGTATGGTTATACAGTGCAGCCAGCGGGGAAGGGAGGAAAAGGATCTAATGAAGAAGACAAGACACAACTCAGCAATTCAGCTGTAACACTGCAGTTTGACAGATACATAAAGAATTTGTTTCTTCATGAATGTTTCTTCATCATCTCTTAAGATCTGGTCACCAGTTTGAGGAATTGAGGACAATAAAATAATCCCAATTTTAAAAATTATTATTTGGGCTCATTGATATAAATGCTATGCTAATTCAAAAAGTGGTGGCACCAGCACAGCACCGAATAAGGGAGCAGAGTTGTTTCAGCACTGCTGAGGCTTGCTGCAACTAGAGGGAAAGCCTCTGTTGCTGTGTCCCCATTGCTGTGGATAAGACCACTGGCTAGGTGGAAGAAGGAAAATTTTGTCTCCCTCTGCCCCTCTTCCATTGTTTCCAGGCCATGTCCACACTATTGCTGCATGGAAATTGATCTGCTGGTGTAGGAGAGGTGTTAGGCAGAAAAGACAGAGGGGAACAACCACTGTATATGGCAACTGGATTACAGGGTTATAGGAGTTTCTCTATGTTTTTCTTGTTACTCTACCTTGTAGTTAGAGATGGGGAAACCAGATTTTACTGTAGTTGAAACACCCAGACAACAGCCCCCAAAAAGTATCCCAGAGGGTACCCCACGGAGCAGTAAGGTGGCAAAGGCAGGAGCAGGCTAAGCAGTCTGAAAGAAAACAGTGCCTGAAGATGTCAAAAAAAGGGGTTGCACACCAGGATTGTTCCAGCCAACACAGGACAACTGATCCCCCTCTAACAGGTCCCTTGGAAGTGAGATAATATTAACCAAGAAAATAACTTGGCTTACTGTTTTTTATTTACCTTGTTACAAAAAGAAGAAAAAAAAAACACCACCAAAAAGAGGGTAGCAGACATTTTTAAGAGTGAATGTTGCATACTGGTATAGGGTAATATCTGACAGTAAAGACACTTCAGAAAATTGAGATTAAATATCTTTCCTAATATTAACACTGTACTAAATCAAAAGCTTTACTCCTCCTCCTGTTTAGCTTTAGCTATATTACTGACCAGATAGCCTTCAAGACAGAAAGACCCTTTTATCAAAAAGGAAATAATTCCAGGGTTTGCCTGAGGCATATGTGCTTCCACAAGATTTAGAAAGGTAGGAAAAGAAAGTAGAAAAATAATTTATCTAACTTATTTTAAAATAAGATATATATTGCATTTTTGTATTTCAAATAAGGACTTGTTTCAATTTTATTCTGTCTATGTAATGGATTTTGTTTGCTTGTCATTTTAAATACATCCCTGTCTTGGAATACCTGAGGTATGCATTTAGTCCAAAATTAATTTCTGCAGTTTTAATTAATTATGGTTCTTGTATTAAAAATTAACTTCAAGGTTATTTTTTAAAATATATTTTTCTTATTTGTAGGACATCAACAGAGACAGGAGATATACATACCATAAAAATCATTCTTGATGTTCAAAAAATTTATTAATTTTTTTCAGGTCTTCCAGGCTTTACTTCTGATTGCTTGACAATTCAATGCCATTTGAGAAGTCTGAAAGAAAAAAAAAAAAACCCCAAACTGTTTCAGACTTCAAAGATAGAAAGACAGCATGGAGCTGGACTCCGTGGTATCACAGTTGTGGAGCAAGCCTGGCTCAGCCCAGTTCCCTGTGGCTGCAGCTGCTCTCCATGAGCTGCTGGCCCTGTGGCCACTGCCCCTCCTGCAGCCCTTTGGATGGTGCTCCCTGTCAGGCACAGGCCATGGGACCCACCCCAGCCCTGCTGTTTAGCTGCCATGGAACTCAGAACCTCTAATCTGACCTCCAGCTTCCTGGAAAGAGAGGTGGGAGAGGTCAACTGCTTCGGGCTGCAATCCCTCAAACCTCTTCCTAAATGCAGTCAGCCGTGCAAAGAAGTCACAGTGGTGAAGCATTTGTCATTCAAAGGGAGCATTTGCCTGGGCTCCTTTCACTAACGCCTCTTCCCCCACCAGGACCAGAGCCCTTACTTGCCCAGACCTTGAACCACTTAGACAGACCCTGCCCTTTCCTATTTGGGGTGGGAAGGGGTTGCATTTCTCCTCATTTCTGGTCTCAGAGCAGGGCAGTATTCTCCATGAGAAATGTAAATCTCTTCATGCACCACCACAGCTCTTGCTCTGGACTGAGACCTCAGCACTCCTTCCTGCTCTCCATAATTTTCTGGTGTCTTTGTGAGTAATAATTAATCATTCTTAGCCTAAAGACAAGGAATGTGTTCTAGCCTTTGCAAGAATCAACCTTTTACCTCAGTATGTGAGAGTAGCACTGGCATTGATTTGTCTTTCAACAATGTTTCAAGCTTGGTTTTGGGTTTTTTTTTTGACAAAAGGCTACATTAGAGCATTAATGATCACAATATGTTCAGGTTTGTTACACTTAGCAGGTGGGCTATTAATGAAATGAGTATTAGTGAGTTTGAAAAATCTTTTTTTCTACTCAGTTTTGATTTGCTTCCAAATACCTGCCCTGTGGTCAGACCACATATTTGTAATAGACTCCTCTGTGGTAGTGAATTTCTTGACAGGGTTTTTTGCATGTTTTTAAAGATCACTTCAGCCTCTATACAGCAGCATCTTTGTTCATATTTAGCAATTGGAAATCAGTCCTTAATTTCCCAAGGCCAGCAGAATGTCCTGAACTTTGCTGCAGCAAACTAAAATTTATAGGTACATATACAGAGTGGGAGCTCAGACAAACTAAATAATTTGTAGATTCAAGCATGATGCTTGTGACTGTCATTAGAAACCAGTCTGCCATCCTAGTAATTACATTCAGATGGCTTTGGGTCAAACCCACTTACTGTATTGTTTCTTCTAGAAAATGAGCTCTATGAGCCTACATATTTCTGCCTAGCAGTTTAAAAATATTGATGGAGGATTATATTACAGCAGCCTTAAAGATTTTATTTAAGGTATGAAAAAAATGAAATAGTTTGTAACTGTGAATATAGATTGCAATTATTTTTAACACTAGCAACCAATTTTCTGACTGAATAATTTTTATGTATATTTCTAATACTTGTAGGGAAAAAAACCCCATGATTTTGATGTAATTTTCTGAACCAAAATATTTTCTCAACGTGGTACAGTCAGTAGTTTTAATTTCTTATTTTCATTCTCTTTCCCAGCCATCATCTACAATCAATACTACAGATGAATCAAACCACTTCTCCAGTTTCCTAGTGGAAGTCTGATAGATCAAAGTCCATTCAAGGGTGCAAATGTTTCCCTTTGTCTCATCCAGGCCATTCCTGAAGCTAAGAAGAGGTAAAATATTAAGAACAGGCATATTTTTCAGCAACAAATCAAGATACAAAGAACAACTAAATACTCCTGAATAGCAATTCTGCTGCAGTGTCAGCTAAAATGCTGCCATGGACACCTGCTCATTCCCTCTAAAAATACATTTCTGGATTGTATCACTAGAATTAATGAGCCTAAAACATCTAATGTCTCATGACAATAGGATTCCTGGGTGGGAAGCTGTGTGTGGAAAAGTCCTGGGCAGATGTACTGCAGCCCTTGCTCTGCTGCCCTGCAGCTGTGCTGCTGAGCAGTAGCCACAGCCAAGGCAAGGCACTCCAAGGCTGGCAAGGTGATGGAAGCCACAGCTGGCTCCCAGGCTGGGAGCAGCATGATTTGCTAAGGCTGAACGTGGGTCCAGGTGCTGCTCAGCAGACACAGCAACTTCTCTCCTTCCTCCTTGCTGGAAAGCAGGGAAGTGAGCTACCCCCAGGGGTGGCATCACCAGCAATGGCTTTGTTCATTTGTCACCGTCATATTTTCTGAAAAATCCCTTTGCCGGGATTTCATCTCCTGGGAAGCTGAGAAGCCTCAGAGAAAAAATGAAAACAATAATTACCTGATTTGCTTCTCCTGTGTTTTGCTGCTTTGGAATGTGGTTTGGACATTGTTTACCAACTGGTCATTGTTTGATTGGTTTCATGTGAATTGTTTTGACTTAATGACCAATCACAGTCCAGCTGTGTCAGGACTCTGGAAGGAGTCATGAGTTTTTCATTATTCTCTTGTAGCCTTCTGTAAGTATCCTTTCTCTATTCTTTAGTGTAGTTTAGTATAGCATTCTTTAATATAATATAGTAACATAAAATAATAAATTAGCCTTCTAAGTACATGGAGTCAGATTCATCTTTCATCCCTGAAAATACCACATCCATTTGATACATTTCTCTCCTTTGGAGGAAGCCTTGGTCCAACACTTCAGCCAGAACAGTTTCCTTGCCCTCAAGGCCTCAGCACTAACCAGGCAGCAGCACTAACAATGCCTGTCTCACTCAGTCAAATCGGCCACGCCAGGAGCCACTGCTTTGACAGAACTATTTTACACACCTCAACCATAATGTGACTTGTCATTGCTTTCAGAGATGTGGTGTGCAGCCATCCAGGCTTTCACGGAATGTTTTGGCCTGTAAGAAAGTTCTATTTGATTATTTACTCTCTCCCCTTGACTGTGGCAGCTTCTCCCTGATGTACTCCTTGAATGGAAGCAATTCTTTCCCACAAGCCCCCATGCCTTCCTTCACATCCCCTTCTTGTCCCTAATGGCTTGATTTCCAGAGGTGATGCTATCCTTAGGCCCTTCTGCTCCTTGAAGAAGTAGGGCTGCCCAGGCCTCTTGAAAATCAGGCCAACAATACAGAGAGGAGTAATTGCAATCTTTGTGGGTAGCTCCAGGCCATGTCATAATACACTCTGTTAGGTGAGGACAAAGCCCATGCTGGAGGGATGAGCAGTTAGAAGAGATGCAGGCCTGGCATGAGGAAAGAAACACATCAGTCTATTTGAACTTTTTTTACCAGTGTGTGGTGAGAGGGAGCTTAGCAAGGATGAACATCTTCCCTGTCTTAAGGCAGGTAGGGCACGCTTCATCCCAGCAACTGGCAGGGGTGAGGGACATTGAAAATGCTGATTTAAACTCATGGTACTGCTCTGCATTAGGAACTCACATGAAATTTACACTTGTGTGGTTTGAAGTTGCATTCTCTTTATAATGAGTTTTGCTTATACTATGTACAAATAATAATTAGGGGACATACCTCAATACATCTTCAAAAGGTACTTGTTTCCTCAAAGTACAGAAGGCTGCAGGCTGAGAACCGATTTTTCTCCAATTTTATTTACTAAAACTTCTTTAATGAGTATTTCTACATGAATAAGAGATGTGGAACTAGGATCATGTTTACGTAAAATAGGAGTGAATTGAGGGATTGCAGCAAACTGCAGCACTTCCAGTTCCTACAGTTTGTGTAATTCTGGTTTAACACGTGTAAATTGACCTCTCAACTGCATCTGCGAGCACCTAAGCATATCCAGTGGCTTGGTCTTGCCATAAGGGGGAAGTCTTGTTCCTTTTTTTCCTTCTCCTCTAACTCAAACTTCTTCCCAGCCAAAGAGCCTGCCCCCTCATCTGTGGTGGCACTGGAGTTTATTTGATTTGCCTGTGAGCTGATACAACTCAATGACACAACAGAAAACCAGGCAGCTGTTTCTTTCAGGGTCACTTTGTGCTTGGTTAGTGACCAACACTGGTGACTGAAGGGCTTCATTCATTCACAGGTAGCAGGGCTGAGAAAAGAGAGATATGGGATTGCATGTCTGGGAACAGGGTCTCCTCACTCTGGTGGAGGTGAACTGCTGGCTTAGTGATTGCCATCCTAGGAAAATGAAACCTAAGGTGTCCAGCTTGAATACCAAAATCCATTTTAGGCATCTGAAAATGCAGTTTAGTAAAACAACCTGCTTTGCACAAGCACAGCTGAGGCCAGTCCTGTGCCTCTGGAGCAGAACACCTCCAGCAGCTTCTCCAAACCCTGCTGCCCCCCTGCCTGCCCCTGACACTCTTCCCATGCTGGCTGGCAGAAATTTCTATGCCTTCTCTGGGAACTGGTCCAGCTGAAAAGTAACTTCTGTAGCCAGCTCAGTTGCAAAGAGCTGTGGCAGTGCAATGCAGGGCAGAACAAGGAACAGAGATGGGCTGTTCCAGGCTGAGCCAGAGCAGAGCTTGTACATGTCCAGCTACTCCTGACTGCTGCTCTCCCAGAATGCTGCAAGTCAAAGGCTGTGACCCCTAGCAGCACATGCTGTGCTTCAGCTGTGCCTGTGTTAGCCTTCCACCCTAACTACCAACAACAACAGGCCCTTGGACAAGAGGTTAAATGGGGTGCTTGGGATTTCCTCATTCTTGACTGGGAGAAAAAAGACAGTGGAAAGGCCTGAGATGGAGGGTGGGTTGCTGCTATGTGTGTACATTACTTGTATGTTATTTACTTCTGATATAACTGTGACATTACATAATGTAAATGCAATGTAGGCTTCCAAGGCTCCAGTTGTCCTTCCTCTCCCGGTCTTGTACAATATTTTGTTGCACTCCTTTGCTGCATTTTGGGTCATGCTAAACTATAAGCTCCTTGTGGCAGAGTGTGTGTCACTGGTGTGAGGCACAATGCCTCAGATAATGGAGCTCTAGCAGCAGTGGGGGCCTTGGGGAGTGCCTGTCACAGAAATGACAGGAAGGAAGAGTTTCACTCTTGTTGAGTGCAGAATTAGTCATGTCTGAGATTGCTTGATTTTTGCCAGCCTTTTTGAAGGACTTCATCTTTGCCTGTTGCCTATGCAGCTCCTATCCCTCTATCTCCACCAGCTACCCATCACCTTTAGACCCCCCTCCTACTCCTCTGTTTTGATTCCATGCCTGATCCTTCCCTTTTGTCAAGAGATCACAAGCTCCTGTCCCTCATTCTCTGCATCTCTCCTTTCTCACCTCCCTGACCAGCCTGTCTGCTGAGTAGGGCTGCAAATAAAGTTTAGGTAATGAGCAAACTCCACTTCCCCAGATTTAAAAGAGAAACATCCAATATTGTCTTCTTCTAAATGCAGAGGCAGATAAATTAAACCAAAAAGTATTTGGAACTGGAGTGCAAAGGGGAGATGAGAGGTGGGAGAAAAGAAAGGAAGAGGTCAGCAAAAGCTACCCCTCTCCTTTGGAACTGTCTTTGGCTTTGTTTCCATTTTAGCAGGAGTAGAGGTTAAGGTGAGAGTCCAGATTGCTTTGGCAATACACTTTTATACCACATGTAGTGACTCTTGCTCAAAAGCAAGTATATGGACTTGATTAAGCTTATGATTTTTGAAAGGTTTTTTCCAACTAATTAAATCCAAATAAACTAACTCTCTGGAGGAGTCAGGAATGTCTACAGCAGGGTTAAAGAGATGGAGAGTTCCTCTGGGTTTCAGTGTACTGGCATGCTTTGTGCACCCCTTGTACAAGACTCAATGAAAACTGTATTTTGCTGATGACATCAAACTGTGCCAAAAGATACAGCTGAAGGGGAGTAGCTGCTAGAACATTTGTTTCCAGTCTTTTTGGACCTACAGCCTACTGTTAGCCTCCAAAATTTCCTACAAATCACAATTTCACAACTCATACTTTAAACTGAAAACACTACAGAGGCACCAAATGGCCATGACGGCCTACCACTCTTTATAGGACATCAACAAGGCTTGAGTAGAGCAGGAGAACCACTGGTCAAGAATGAAGGAATGCAAAGGTAGAACAAAAGTACTGATTCGAAACTCCACATGTGCAAATCTTCACTGACTACAAAACCAGTTGGAGGTGCAAGAGTTAGTTAATCTCTGGGGTAGTTGGGTTCATTGCAGACTCACCATGTGGGATGTGGATACAGATGTTAGGGGTTTCACAAAGTCTTCTTGATTCTAACTAAATGATTTGATGGGAACCTTCGGCAAGAACTGCAGGTGAAAGAAACCAGAGAAAACAAAGTCTGAGAAAAACATCATTAGGTCAGCTACAGTGCCAGTATAGTGGCATGTCAGGAAAGGAGAAGAAAGGCAACACCATACTGGTAAAATGGCAACCATCAGCTGGATATTACAGGAACTGACAGGTTACATGCTACAATAATATGCATTTTGTGGCAGGGGCCACGTGGACAAACTGGGATGGGCTGGGCTGGACTCTGCTAATCATGTCACCCAGTGCAGACAGAAGTTGTTGGATAAAGAGCTCAAAGAAGGTTAAAAAAAAAATTAAAAAAAAAAAGGTTAACAAATCAACAGAGGAACCCAACAGCTGGCAATCATGAAAGGTGGGATGAGGAAAGGATCAGCTCTGAGGATTCATTGGGTAGATACACATGGAGATAATACATTGAGCTGTAATCTTGCCAAAGATTAGGTGAAAATGAAAATGCTGGTGGCTGCTGTATTTGGATTTCAAAAAAACCCCCAAGCAACAAACCAGCACTTTCCTGGAAAGGCAAATCCTTGCTTGGAAAACACCAAGAGCAGATCTAGACTCAAACCTTGAACGCATCTGACAGCATTGCTACTGCAGAATGGCATATGGGGCTTAAACTTATTCTCAGGAAGAAAGAGCTCACTGGGTGTTAAGTCACTCCTTACATATGGGTGGAAACTTGTAGTAATTGTGCAATTTCCCTAAAAAAATCCCCAGAGATCTCAGTTCGGTATTTTGCTTTTGCAGCCTTTCCTGCCTTTGCTGTTACAGCGCTTTTCACTTGCAGTCCTTGAGCTTCCCTACATCATGTAAAAATACGATTATTTCTTTTGCTTAAAGACCTTGGTACAACATTAAAAACCCACCAGTAACTATACCGAGGTTCCTTTTGCCAAAATACCTGTCCTCTTTAGTCACGCTCACTTAACGAGGAAAAAAAAAACAAAAACCCAAGACCAGGATGCTTCAATTCCTCCTTTTTTCCTCCTTTCCAGGCCGGCCACCGGAGCATCCTCCAGCCGCGCAGCCCCCCGTGCAGCAATAGGGGCGGCGGCCGCAGCATCCTCCGCCGCAGCGCCGGCCCGGCCGCAGCTGCTCCCCGCTGCTCGGGGGCGGCCAAGGCCCCCGGGGCCGCGGCAGTGCCGCAAGGTGGGCAGCGGAGCGAGGCGCTGCGGCGGCAGCCGTGCCCCGCAGCCTCCGCAGGGCCGTGCCGCGCTGTGCCGTGCCCCGCAGCCTCCGCAGGGCCGTGCCGTGCCGCGCCGTGCCGTGCCCCGCAGCCTCCGCAGGGCCGTGCCGTGCCGTGCCGTGCCCCGCAGCCTCCGCAGGGCCGTGCCGTGCCGTGCCGTGCCGCGCTCGCTGCCGGCCCGCGGCGCCGCCGCCGCCGCCTCCCTGGCTCCGCCGCCGGGCGCGGGGACATGCGCAGTGCCCGCGCCGCGCTCCGCGGCCGCGCTCCGGCCCCTCCGCCGCCTCCCCCGACCCTCCCGCCGGGCGGAGGAGGGGGAGGGAGAGAGGGGGAGGAGGAGGCGGGTAGGGAGAGAAAAGGAGAGGAGAGAAGAAGAGACGAGAGACGCGCCGCAACTTGCTGCCTCTCCTCCCTCGGCTCCCTGGCCGCGCCGCTGCGGGCTGCGCTCCGCGGGAGGCGGCAGCCAGGGACGCTCCGCTCCGCAGGGCCGGCGCCTCCCGGTGAGTTGGGGGCGGTGCGCGAAGTTGCGGTGTCCGTGTCCGTGTTTTGGGGGGTGCTGGTGCAGTCGCTGCGGGGACGCTGCGGGGCTACCCCTGCTTGCCGCGCTCCGCGCTGCGGGCGCTGAGGACGCTGCGCACGGGCGGAGCTGCGGGCGGCAGGAGCGGACACAGGTGCGGGGCACGGCCCCGGCCCCGGCCGGGTCAGCTGCGCGGATCTCCGCGGCGCGGGGTTACCGCGCCTCCCCGCTGCTGCCAGCCAGCCCCGTTACCCTATTTCCATTGAAATCCTATTAGGCAGTGACAGGCTCCAGTTTGTGTCACTGTGGCATCTGCTCTTGGCTTGGAAAGTCTCGTGGAGGACGGGGTCGCTGGAGCGAGCGGGGTCTGCTCGTCCAGCGGAGCTGCGAGCGCAGATTGTCCCCAACGCCGAGTGCCGGGCGTGCTGCGCGGAGCTTTCGGCTCTCAGTGCTCCGGAGAGGGAAAAGAGAAACTGACCCACGGTCACAGCAGAAAGTTGTGCAGCTTGAAATGCTACGGGCGCTAATGGAGCAATTAGCTAAATAAACAAACGTAGTGATTTATAGGTGTCTGAACTATAGCACTTTCAAGATAGAGCTCTTTAACCTTTCTTTCTAATCTATCCTTCAGAGATTTGGTTATAAGGAGAGTAACATATCGTGTGTGGTGCTGAATACACGAATTAAATGCATTTGTGAAAGGAACGGCCTTTGAAATAATACTAAGCCATTAAGCAATAAATGCAGAAAAGGAGTGAGACAGAGAAAGAGCAAAGAAAAAATCTTGGCAGAAAATATTTCCCCCCTTTCTAGCAGCCTAGGAAGCCTAGCAGCTGTGCTTGATTAACTTTTATCCAGGGTTCTTATTTAATGAAATTAAACTTCAAAAAAACAAGTGTGCTGTGTGAAACCAGAGGCAAATCCTCCTTAGTCCTCTCAAAGTCTGTCTGTGTTGCAGATAAATGATGATTGGAGCAGCATCTGTTAAGAGAATTGGTAGAAGCAAACACTGCTAAAGATACCAGTAGGTAAATGGAAGTATGTTGTTATTGTATTTGTTTCTCTTAGGTGATGCAGAACAAGACATTTCAAATTCCAGGGAGTTTTATTTTACATCTTTAAAAATTTTTCAGGTGCATAGCTTCGTTATTGCAAAAGTGCCTCCCCTGATTGGAAAAGTGATTAATTCAGGTCTTAGTTTATTTAACAAAGGCCAAATTCTGCAGCCTGTGGGGCATCTCCTGTAAGGGGTGAGTGTCTTTTGCACTCATTGAAAAAGAAAATAGTACAGCATGTGTAACACCATGCAGGCCTGAAGTACTAGAGCAGTTTTATATATAACCAGCATTTCAACACAGATTTTTATTAACATAAAATCAATATTCAGGATTGGGATCTGCAACTTCCAAATGAGAACCTGATCTGGAGGCAATGCATTGCTCAAATGAGTAAAAGTTGTGGGATATGACAGTCATCAAACTCACCCATCTTTGGTTTGGTTCCTTTTATGAGATGTCATTTAATGAGGAAAAGAAACAGGTAATCCATTGTGTTTTAAGACACAGTGCTCCTCATAGGCCTCATTGCCAGGCATTTGAAAGTGAATGTGGCTTTAGATCATGTATTGTGTACAAATGACTACTACAAGATAACTTAAGTTCTGAATTTATTCTACTATTACAGTTCTATTGATCAGAAAGTGGCAACTGGATTCCAAGGCCTAAACAAGGATGATCTGAGAGTTAATTTATATTTTAGGAAGCACTGAGGAGTGCACAAGAAAAGCCATCAAGTTTTTCTTGTTGGATGTGCAGTGGCATTTAGTTTAAGGAGCCTTCTTTCTTGGGGCACTGGGAACTTCATTGACACACAAAGGTGTTAAATGAGTTTATCAGCTCATTGATGGCCGTGGTGAAGTGCTGCAGAGTTCAGTGGCTGGAACAGGACAGTTATTTTATTTCCAGTAAGGATGGGGATAGAGAACTGAAGGGCTTTTTCAAAGTAGTTCCAAACCCATATAGTTTAAAACTGTAAAATAAAATGCAAGAATAAGATTAATAGACCAAGAGGACTCAAAACCATGTGACAATTAAAACAAGAAATCATTCAATAACACTACCCATGCCCCTACAGCAATGCCTGTGCTTCAAGGTCTTGAGACTGGGGCAGGATTCAGGCAGAGGATGGGAGGGTAGCTCAGCCCTGGAGCAGCCGTGGGGAGGAGCAGCTGACCTGGGGTGTGGTGGTTGTGCTGGGGCTGGGAGGGAGCCCAGGCAGGGTGAGGGGGAGCAGAGGGCTGCCCCTCACCCTTATCCCCATTTGCTAAGCTGAGATGGGGAGTGGCCCCCTCCCATGATTTAGGGTTTGCTGATTGTATGGTGACTGCTGGCCCTGGCCCTGCATGGAGCCAGCAGGGAGAGGTGCTGGATGAGGCTCAGGTTGCACAGCCTGTGGCTTGCAGGCAGGCTGCCCTGGCTGCTTACTGCCCATCCCAGCATCCCAAGGATGCCATCAGTACTGCTACTGCCTTATACTGTGTATAATAATGCCAAAAAGTTCTGGTGAGGGGAGAAGCTCAAGTTTCTTCCATGGGACCATGGGAAAATGGTCCATTTGTAAATGTTCATATGATAGGATACTGCTTGCATAGAGTGAAACGTGGAAAGGCAAGCAGTTTACACTCATTTGTGCAATACTACAAGAAGTAAACTCTAAATTTTGAAATCACTATGCAGTAATGTGGGCTCATGGAGGACCTGTGAAAGCTGCAACACAGATGAGGAAGCTGAATCCTGATTTGGCTGCCAATTTACTACAGGTAGTTGAGATGTCCTTGGTTGCGATTCCCCCATCTCCATCCTGGTACCCTTCATGCTCTGAATTGCTGTGCTGTGCCAGAGGTTCTCCATCAGTCACTCCTTCCCCTAGTCCCTCACCTCCCAAAATCTCCACGTGCCATGCCAGCAGTGGTGCCCTGCTTGTGAACTGGCGTGAATGGCAGCCTGCAGGTGTTCAGTGACTCCTTCAAGGCCCCAAACTGCAAACCTCTCTGCAGTTTCATTCTGCTTCTCTTCTGTGGTGAAGCAGTTTTTTTGGCAACACTGTTCCCTCAGTTACCTGGGCAGGCTGCAGATGGTGGGACCTCCAAAGCTTGCTCTGAGAAGGTGCACCAAGCACAGCTGTGAGGTGCATGACGAGTGACAGGAGGTGTGCCTGTGCTTCATGGATGTGATATAACCCAGTTTTAATTAAAGCAGGCACAGCAGATTATTAGGGTAGATAAATACTGCCTTGTTACAGCCCTCTTGGGTCGTATGTAAGCAGTATTCGTTTAGAAAGGATGAATGAATAGTCAGTGTGAAGGATAAAGATCAGCATTGTTAATCACTCTGGAAGTCTTCCGTGGGAAAGTGTAAACTCATGAGGAAAGACAGTGCCCATAAATGTCATTTAAATATTTAAATAAATTGAGGATAAAATTTTGATAATAAAGGCATGCAAGTACCAAGTTATGTTTGGGTTCCTGTCCAAGATAACTGGGACTTGTACAGTTGGCTTCTATCATTGATAGGCTGTGCTTCTGCTTCATACTTTGCTAGCAGTAATGAAGAGCTCATCTTCAGTGCCACCTGGGGGGGAAAAAAACCCTAATTTTTCTTGTCATAGTGCAGAGAAAAACTTCAGAAACTTGGGGGGGGCTATGTTTGCTTAAGATCTTGAGCTTCGGGAGGGGTTAATGCTTCCCTTGTGGTGTTTGTGCCAGGTGCCTTTATGGGGGCTTGAGTCAGGGGCACTGAGCATCCAGCTGCAGCTTGTTGCTGTTGATATATCTGCAGGGTGGGAAGAATGACTCCAGGTGGGAAAGAGTGGGTTTCCACCTCCATTAATAAGCAGAAATTGTGCATCTACGGTTCCTTGATTTTGTAATTCTCACTAAAGTTTCTTTTGCCCTTTCATACCTCTCAGAATGCCTTACAACTGTTGGGGAAAAAAAAAATCTGTGTGCTTTCATGTAAATGCAATGAGGAAGAGCCTTTGAAAATATATCTAGCTGATGTTGATGAATAAACAAACGTGGCCAGGGTAAATCTTTTCATCTAACTTCAAGAGCCACGCTGTAATGAAGTAAATATAGATGTACTTAATGGGCTTCTTTCATCCAAATATATAGCAAGCCCTTTAAATTAATGCAAACAAATCTAAAATGGATTTCTAAGTGGCTTTTTATTTTTTATTTTCTCAATATTGGAGCAGTTTAGTCTACCCAGAC